GGGTAGCGTTGGGAGGCGCGGGAGGCCGGCAGCCTCCGTCGAGCGCGGCCGCTCCGGGGGCTTCCAGGGGGGCACCTGGAGGCTGGCGGAGAGACGGCGGCGCCCGCGGCGCAGGTCAGCACCCAGCATCCCTGGGGAGGGGGGGGAGCGGCTGCGGCACCCGGGGTCCAGCGTCTCCGGCGGGGGCTGCGAGGAAGGGACGGGGGCGGGTCAGACGGGGTGGTGTGGCATGGCACGGTACGGCGTGGCACAGCATGGCATGGCACCACGTGGCGAGTGAGCCTCACACCGCATGGCACGGCACGGCACAGCACAGCACGGCACGGCACGGCACCACACGGCATTGTATTGTACGGCCAGCCTCACACGCCACGGCTTGGCACAGCGCTGCATGGCATGGCATGGGTTGGCACTGCACGGCATGGCATGGCACCACACGGTGTGGCACGGCATGGCCAGGGAGCTTCATACCACACGGCACGGCACAGCATGGCATGGTATGGATTGGCACAGCATAGAACATCACAGCATGGCACGGCACAGCACGGCATGATATGGTGTGGTATGGCACAGCCCAGCGTGGCACGGCACGGCACGGCCGGGGAGCCTCGCACCACATGGCACGGCACGGATTGGCACAGCACACCACGGCATGGTATGGCACAGCACAGTATGGCACAGCACGGCGCAGCGTGGCACGGCACCCAAGCGGGAGCCCCTCACCCTCTGCCGCGGGTCCCCAGGGCTGGGCTACGGAGGGGCCCCCCCGGCCCCCCCATACATGCTCCCATGGGGACCCCATCCCCGCCCCGGTGCTCCTGGTGCCCACCCCCGGTGCCGCCTCACCTGCTCCTCGGGCCCAGCCAGGTCGCTCTGGTTCTTCCTCATGTGCCCGCCCGGCGCCGGGGCTCAGGGTGCGGGGGCCATGCGGGGGGAGTCGGGGGCCCCCACCACGTCCCGGGGGGCTGCGGCGCCTGTGGGGGAGAGCTGAGGGTGAGGGGGGAGCAAGGAGACCCCTGGCCCCCTCGCCGGGACCCCTCCGGCATCGCAGCCTGTGCCGGAACCGGGGATCCCTGGGGAGCCAGGCTGAGCCCTGACGCACTCGTTGCAGCCCTGGCACAACCGGAGTCCCGTCCCCCCCCCGGGTTGGAACGGATCCCCCCGTGCCTCCACGCACCGGTGCCGGGGGGATTCGCGGGGCTCTGTGCCGGTGGTGGGTGAGCTGCTTCGTGGCAGCTCCCGGCAGCCCCGGCTCCCACCCCGGGGACCCCGGGCTCCTCCTGGCAAAGGTTGCCAAGGAAACCCCGGCATCTCGGCCCGCGGCATCCCATCCTACGGCATCGTTGGCCATGGCATCGGCATCGCTTTCCCCCCCAGCATCGCGTCCCCCCAGCATCAGCATCGCTTCCCTTGGCACCAACATCCCTTCCCGCGACACCGGCATCGCTCCCGGCACCGGCATCAATTCCCACGGCACCGACATCGCTGCTGGTACCAGCATCATTTCCCACGGCACCGACATCGCTCCCGGCACCAGCATCCTTCGGCATCGCCTCCCCCAACACCGGCATCCCTTCCCGGCACCAGCATCGCTCCTGGCTTCTCCCCGCATGGGGCAGCCGTGGGGAGCGGGACCCCCAGGGCCGGCCGGGCTGGGGGGGTGCTGGCAGTGCCAGGCTGCCCGGTGTCCCCCCCGGCAGTGCCAGGCCTAGCGGGGTGCCGGCAGTGCTGGGCTGCCCGTTGCCCCCCCCGCTCCGGCAG